TAACGCAGCGATTTCAGTGTGCTGGGACAGATTTCCGCTCCACAGCGTCACAGCTAAACTGTGCTATCCATCTACAAGAGCAGGTTCTCCGAATATGAAGACAGCTAGAGTAATCCTATATGCTCCAGCGGCCTTATTCTCCTTCAACAGTATGATCTCGCGTTCGAATTGAGAGCATGAAGACAGGTCTAGTAGGACGGCCCAGAGAGAAGGGCGATCATTTGCCGTTGGCGAAGTTGGTAAATCTGATTGGTGAAGCCACTTTACAAATTTGGCGGCCCAACACTCCACGAGTTTTGGTGCAGTTATGGTGTAGTTAACACAAGGTCTCCTTCGGCCCGTTTCGTGTATCAGGCGGAATAATTTCCGATGGTTACCAAGGCCAGTACCCGATTCCATCTCTGATGCACGAAGAGACCACCAGGCTTCGCGGTCTCCCTTCAGGCTAGCACACAATCTTGCCGTGAGGTTTTTGTGAGACATCTTGTCTTTGCTCTCAGCCGGAATGTGTCGCCGAGCATCCAAAAGTTCCAGAGACTGTAATGAACCCAAAGTCAAGGTTCGCAGTTTGAGTTTCACATGAAGATATGCTTGCCGCAGTGGTTTTGGGTTCATCTATAGTTCAAAGTCCTTCGACAACTGCTAGTTCAGTGATTCGCTGATGAAGGAACACTCACGGCATAATCTTATCGTTCCAGTCCCACTTGGAGTTGGAATTGTGGCTATGCGACCAGTGCTCCTCTACTGTGTTTAGAGGGCGCTTACTCAGTCTGGATGCCAGCGTACTTTGATATAAATTCAGCTGACAAGTATCTGTGAGGAGAGGAGAGAGAGGGCACCAGCTTTACGCCGGTACGCAGTACCGACGCTTCGCTGTCACGCAACGACCGGTCGCACGCGGGCTAAGCATCCTGCGAGGGTAGCCCTATGCCTACGCAGGACCGAACCCACGCCGTCAGACTGCAAGACGACCTCGCTACCCTTAGGCTACAGATCGGCGACAAGTATCTATGCGGTCATAGCGTCGCCGCATGCGCACACACAAGCGAACTGTAAGGTCGGCACATCCGAGTAAGTGATCAGAGTTCACGGTCGTGCACCAAATCAAGCGACAGTTTTGGACGTAGCCCCTAAGTGGTAACTGATCGCGATGTGATCGACTTGCATCCACGGCTGTTTTGACGCGGGTGGGCGCCATGTCACTCTTCTGCAGGGGCTGTATCGGAAGATAGTGCTCGCAAGAAGTAAGCGGGCATCTTCACACAAATGTACTAAAGGCTCACCGTTATCATTACGGCAGCCTACACCGTGTTCGCCACCAAAATGCAGCGAATTTGTGGACAGTATATCAACTTAAGCGTTAGGATTACCAGTCAGCAACACAATATCTGTACTTTTACCGTAACGAAGAGGCTCGTCCATTTGGTGATAGAATTTGTTTTTAATCGAGTCAGTTTTACCGTTTGTGCGGGTGTAGGCGGCAATAATATGCAAACGCCATTAGTTCCCGCGCGAATTCGTAACCTTGAACGAGATAGCCAATCTAAAGGCGCACATCCAGCTGTTTATTGAGATCCGGTTAATCAAGGTGGCTTCAGCAGGTGGACTCAGAGCAAGATCCACACCGACTTGATCAGTATTTGAAACTGGGTTTTCTACACAGTGTTGCTTGTAGGGGAGCGCAGAGTAATCGCGGAACTTGCATCTTACGGGTGAGTTTCTGATAAGCAGTAGATATCCATCGACAGGGTCGTTAGTAATCGGGCAACTGCTGCCTGATAGCCAGGCTGCAATAAAGTGCGATTGTTAAGGCGTGCCAGTTTTAAAGTTCGATCTGGGGCTTCAGAGAAAAACGGATGAATTGACCTTGTCCAGTTGATTGAACAGGAACTTGCCAATTGGACTGGGGCGACATCCTACAATTGCGTGTGAGTCTAAACTAAAAGACAAGCAATCAATGAAGCAAGATGGAGGGGGGCTAAGAGTTGAGGTGTTTAAAACAGGGGATGTAAATGAACTGGGAGCGGGACAATGAGGATGAAAATGTGCGAGACGTGGAGGCTTGAGCAGTAAGATCCTTAACCCTATCCACCCTACGCGGTGCATCGGGTACGGCACCGCTGATTATCGTCTGCGACGCCCATAGCATCAAGAAATCGTTAGAAAAGAAAGTCGTTGTATCGCATGGAGAGGATACTGTCAGATTAGCCAGGTCTAGACAGGAGAAGGATTAAGGCCCCCAGCCAAAGCCTTTCGTACAAGAGTTATCGCAACGCAACTAGGTCTCGGTATTGGACTACAGACAGTCAGTTTATTTAAAATAAGGAGTCACCGTCACTCCAACCTTCGAGTTAAGCGGCCAAAAGACTAAGTTGGTCTGGCCTCTAACCACTGACCGAGCTGTTATGAGTTGCTCGGAAGATGCAAGGAGCACCGCCCACTATAGCTTAATGAGTATCTGAGGCGAGCAAACCATTACACAATGTTAACGCCTAGTCTTGTCGCGATTCTTTCTAGTTAGATTGACGATGTCTATTGCTAAGCTGCGTAATTTCACTACACAAACTACGGTGGCTTTGGTACGTGCTTAGCAAGCCACACCCACTTTTAATAACTCACTACGCATTCTTCGCGCGAGTTGAGGTTGACTGGAAGCAAAAGCAAGGTGGATAAAGAAAACGCGGGAGAAAGTATGAAGGCGCTAGCATCAAAGTTGGCCATCGTCGAGTGTTCTCTTCTCGCTGGATGAGGGTCCAAATACCAAGAGCACTCTTGGCTGAAAACTCTTTCAGACATGGTAAGAACTCGCGCACAATGGCGGATATATCGCGAGACCATACCCCAATGATTAAAACTTTTTAAGTTATTGGTTTTATCTTATGTCCCAATTATCTATATATGTTGAGGCACTCTGCAAAATGTACTACCATTAGCCAAGTATTCAAAATATGCGTATATATAAATGTATATACACCTTTCTAATGTGTCAAATTTAGGGGACTAATGAAATCAACTGACTGATGATTGCTGCACCGCCATACTCGTAGAGATCAGGAGGAAGCTCTTCTGACAAACAACAATGAATCACTTCATTCGTAGTTGCAAACAGGCTCCCGCTTCGCCGATTTGGTTCAACAGCACGACCAAGAACAGGCCAGTTACATACTTCATCCGTAAAAAAGGAGTAAGTCCGTTGAAGTGGGAATGAGAATGCGCGGGCCATCTATCCAAATGCATCTTGAGTTAGTGAGCGATAAGTCATTCGTCGCACAAATAACCTCACTACCACTAGGCTTCCTGTTTCCAGTGTACAGAATGAGTTTGCGAATATTATCAGATGGTAGAGACGTCCAGTTCAGAAAGACGCTGAGAGCACCACGCGTCGAAATAACCGCGCAGGCCTGGTTAGAGCCGCGTACGGATAAAGGGGTGCGCTTTCTTATGAGCTGATGCCACTGCGATTTTACTGAAGCAGCCGAAGGTTTTTAGAAAACAATTGGAGATCCAAATGCCGAGTATGATCTCACATTTACAATCCGAACGAGACAACTCCCCTCTACACGGAAGTTTATTGTCGCACAATATTCATTGTTGGATCCTAGGTGAACGCACGTGTCAAAGACGAGTGATAGCTTGGAAATATTTGGGTGTTGCTCTTCTCAACAATGGCCGACCAAGACAGCGGTTTCGTCCTGGTTTGGACTCGTCAGGTGGAGATAGTCTAACATGGGGTGGAATTCAGAGCTTAGTAGTTCACGGCTGACGCCAGGAACACTATGCTAATGAGATCAGCGAGCAACGCTTGGTACAGCGGAAAGCAATTCAAAGCTTAATTTAGGCAACACGCTGTGTGGTTGGGTTACGACTCGCAACCTCTATAGAGACCTCGGTTCATTTTGAAGTAAATCACGGTCATTCTGATCTCGAGGACCGTGTCTGGAATGGAAATATTTTGACTGATATCTTAGTTGGAACAGGTGATCAACCGGCTTGTCGGTATCAACCTAGCGGTGTTTGCTCGTTCAGAACCTTCTGAAACAAATGCATATATTCGCACAGACTGGTGCTTGATCTGAGTCGAGGAATGTGGACTAAAATAACCTGCAGATTATTGTAGGAAACTTCAAAGCACGAGTTACAGTTCGCACAGAATAGAGCGGTAAACGAAATTATATGTAGTACGGGGAACATTTACTGATGAGCAACCGGTCTTTGGAATTGTTTCTTTCCAAAGTACACAGCGATGGAGGCAGATGTTAAGGTATAGGTACTTGTAAAGTGAATCTGACTGGGCCAGAGGATGTCGTTTGGAAAAGCTAATCTGAAGCAAAAAACACCAATTAGACTTCCGGCATGTTGTATCCTCTATCGAACAGATAATCGAAACAGTCTAAGCTAGGTTGCGAGTAAAAGGTTTACCGCTGGACCTACTAATTCCTTAGGTTGAGAATTTCTGTGATAAGAACCTTATTTGTTACAAAAACCATTGTGTACCACGAAATACACTATAAATGTGACGCGATGCCGACAAGTCTGGCACAAAATGGTCCAGCGCACTTCAACGCTTATCCATTTCCTGATCCAGGGTCATTTGTTGCTCGCAACTTATCTGTCACTTGGGTACTTGTTTTAGGCTATAACTAGACTAGTGGAATCATTTCATTCTTGCTGTCAGCTGCTCATGCTGCGGATTGCCGAAATTGTGTGACTGACTCTTATTTTCCTCCATGAGCTATGTTCCGATGTGTGTATCATACACTTTGCCATCAAGCAGACTTTCCAAAAGTCCACAAGAACTCAGAGAGTGATGGATAATAGCTGACGGAGAAAGAGTACTAATCGACGTCTTGCCAATCGGTGTGGGCATGTGAGTCGTTACGCTATAACATCATATATCAACTATAAGAATGCATGTCGATATTATTTTGCAAGCACCCCCGTGTGATAATTACTGTTTGATGAGGTTAGAGGAACCACGTAGCAGGAAAGGATAAACTCACCTTCAGTTTCATTTATATGTTGTTGCTGCTGTTCGTGGAAGAATAGCAGTCGTTTGTTAAGCAACTCGGCATGATTAAGCTCCAATGCAGCCTCCTGCCGAAGAGCCTCGGATCGTTCAGCAGAGCTGATTGCTTTAAACAACTCCCTTTGAGTTTCTGAAAGCTAAAGGAGTTACTTATGTACACGCACAAACCTTTAGATTAAGCTCCTTGATTTCAATGTGACGACACAACTCAACAGTTTTGGGAACTTCTAGCAGATATAAACTGCGTCTTACAAAACCATGCTAACCCACAGATATTTTTGCCAAGTTAACTTCTGCAACATTAACATCTGCTGGGGGCACTGGAGTTGCCGAATCTCCAATGACATCAGCTATCGCTTCACTACTCAGAGTAGCTGTCTCCAGTGAATCCGCACATTCGAGAACCATTACAAGATCCCATTCATGTAGGAACTTATCCTGTAATATGCGTCCGGTGGAGAATCCCGAGGGCCTTCGTGTCCAATGCGCAATAGGTCGTGATAGACCTGGGGGCTGCAATGAAAACAAACACCTCGTGGGAGGCTGGATGAATGTAACGTGCAACTGGCTAACGTATCATGGCGAACCGGATGCCATTGTAAAAGCTGTCAAGAGGATATTCCCTCACTATTGAGCCTGAGCTGAGTGGATGGTGAAGGGAGCATGAGGGATGGCTGAGAAAAGGGAAGGAAAGCGGCGGAGTCGGTCTGGTCAAGTCAGGTATTCAGGGACGGAACAGGGGTTCGCGTTTCGTGTGCCGTCGAGCAAGCCGAAGTCCCGGCACTTTAACGTTCCAGCTTCTTCACTTCTGCAGAGGCAAAAGAGTAAGTTATTACAACTTCAGGAAATTATCCATGACACCCTACCAACCACGGGCCATTTAGTACTAATTAGTATCCACTAATCTCGATACAATTTCGGAGAGTGGACCAATACATATCCAAAGCTTTTTTAAAAGTTTCGATCGTATTACATCCCACTAGTGCAGGGAAAGTAAATCCCAACGACGCACTACGCGGTTAGTGAAAAATTTCGCCCGGATATCCAGTCTTGATCTCTGCTTCATGAGGTTCAGATGGCGTCACCGCAAGTGGTCCAACTTAGCTAGTTCAAAGTGATCCGTGGGTTTGATGTCACTGAGACGCTTCATAATCCTAGACGTTTTTATCAGGTCTAACCTTAGTCCGTGTCCTTCCAAGGAGGACAAGCCTAAACAGTCCAGGCGGTCAACATACAACTTTTCTCGCTGGAGTTGAATCATTGTGGTTGCCAGTCTATGTACCTAAAATAAGCAGAGATACCCCATAGAAAATAAGGTGCCCAAACCCGAATACTCTAAGTGCGGCCGAATCACCGCTTTGTATAAAGAGAGAAAAACCTCAGGTTCAGTATTACAAAACGAACTCCTGAGGCAAAAAAGTTCCTGCCGCGCTGTTAGCAGCACGTTGGCACTGCGCTGAAGGCCTGAAGTATCTAACTCAACGATCCCCAAGTCTCTAGCTTTGTCTACATACTACAATGTCAGGGACTCAGCGGATGTTTGCACCGTGATCCCAAACTTACTGCAAGACAACAACTGATATTTATTCGCGTTCAGTGATGTTACTTTATGGCGCGCCATAAAGTAACCAAATTGTGCAAAGACAACCATCGAGCATCAGCTTCAAGCGTACGAAAAAGCGTTCTGCAACGGGGCGTACCCCTTCGCCAACACAACCGTGATCTCAAATTGATCGTATTGCAATCAGCTTCAGATGGCGTTGCAGCGTACTGGACTGCAGGTCCTTTTGGTCCACCTTCGTTGACTCAGATCATGCAATGGTCTGCGAGAAAATCTGCATATGTTTTGGGGGTCCCGAAACAGGAAGCACTGCAAGACTGATGTAAACAGATTAACTGATTCTTCTCTCCAGACGAGGTATCAGTCTTCACTGGCATATGCACACAGTTGTAATCCACCGCAAGACGTGGAGCAAAACTGGACTTGTATACGGGAAGCGATGACCATTCACGGACAGTCAAGCTGCGGCCTAACCCGACGCCCCCTAAAGGCTTGGATCTCTGCTCGTTCTTTGGTGCTGTTCGAACGTCGCAAAGATATCCCGGCGGAATCAGATTGCATCGAGCGGCGCGGTTCTGCCAACCGGCTCCTCAAGCAAAGCCTAAACAAGGATCGCGATACATGGTGGTCTAAGCGTGCTTTAGAGATGGAGACCACTGCCCTTTCGCAGTTTTTTCCAACTCATTCGGTCCACTGGCCTCGGGAAGCCTGGTGTCAGTGAGGTCATTTGTGAGGTGGATGAGTCTCCGATCACCAACCAACAGAGGCGTATGGACCGCTGGGCCGAGCACTTTCCATAGCAGTTCAACTGGCCTCCACCATCCATCAGTACATGCACCTTGGCTCGTCCCAAAAGATCCACCCAGCGAAGCAGAAGTCGATCTCGAGATTCGACGTTTGAAGCGGTTCTAGGCTGCCGGCTCAGACGGACTTCCTTTGGAGCTGTTCAAGTACGGCGGCGTGGCAATCATTAACCAGCTGACCGCGCTGTTCGCAAAAATCTGGCATGAAGAGAAAGTGCCTTCCTCTTGGAGTGAATCAGTTATTGTCCCGATTTTCAAGAAAGGCGCTCGCAATTCATGTGTAAATCATCGCGTGATCAGTCTTATTTATGTTACCTCCAAGCTAATGGCATCCATATGGCTTCGCACACTATCCATAGTACGTAAATCAGACTACAGTGAAGAACAAGCTGGTTTCCGTCTTGGCCGCGGTGCGTGGATCAAATCTTCATGCTCCGCCAACTCCTTGAACATCGCCACATTTATCACAGGCCCACTATCGTTCCAATCTTAAACATACGTGCCACTTTCGACTCCGTGGATCGGCCTGCTTTATGGCGTTGCTTACTAAAGAACGGGGTGCCAGAGAAATATATCGCCATCTTACGAGCACTTTACCTCCATACATCTGGCAGAGTGAGGGTCCATGGCAAGCTTTCCTCGCAATTTGCTGTCAATAGCGGTGTGCAACAGGGCTGCCCTATGTCTCCATTCCTCTTCAATTTCGCAATCGAAGATGTTCTATCGAGTGCTCTAGAAGGTTGCCAACATTTTGGGCTAGAGCTTCTACAGGGTGAGCGCGTCATCGACTTAGATTATTCTGATGATGTCGCCTTACTTGGTGACGATCCTCAGGGTATGCAACTCATTCTGGATCGTTTGACGGTTGAAGCATCTAATTATGACATGAGTTTTACCCCATCAAAGTGTAAAGTGCTGCTCCATGACTGGCCTACAGTTGTTCACAGCTGTTCACCACTGCTACCAGACTGGACCTTAACGTGGTGCGATGGATTGTGTGTCTCAGTGATCCATTGAGTTATACTGGGTGGTGCTCTTTTGCACCTTCAGAGCCACTCATACCAGATTGGTCAATGGTTAGAGTCCAGACAAACTCAGTCCCCTGACCCTCCTGGTTGGGGGTTGGAGTGAGGCTGGCTCCTTACTCCATAAAACGGGCTCTCTGTAGTCCATTGCCAAAACCCCGCTGACTTGCGGTCAGAGTTTTGAACCAAAGGCTTTGGTTGAGAATCCTAATCGTTCTCCTGCCTAGGCATGGGAAACCTGACAGTATTCTGCCCACGCATGTAAAGAACCTTTTTTTAACAATTTCTTGACGTTCTGGCCGTCGCAGAGGATAATCCACGGTGCCCTATTAGCTGCATCGAGCAGAGTGGATAGGGTTATGGATGCTACCGCTCAGGCCTTCTCGTCTTCTTATCCCGCTCCACCTTTACTTTTATCCCCCCATTTTCAATCCCCCAATTCTCGGCCCTCCCTCACCTTGCTACTTTAGTTGCTTGCCTTCTAGTTTCAACTCACACATAGTCGCAGGGGGTCGCTCCAATCCAGTCGACAAGTCCATGTTCAAGCAAGCGGACAACGTCAGTTCATCCGTTTCACTTCGGAGTCCTTGCGTCTCGCTAAGACTGGCATGCCTCATAGTGCTCACTTTGCTACAGATTGGCCAACAGGCAGCACTTGCCTGCATACTAGAGACCTTATCGATCAATATTTGCTGTTTATCAGAAACCCGCTTGCAAGATTCGAGCTCCGTGCTTACTCTGCGATCCCCTCATGCGACACTGGCGGCACATTCTCACTGCGCCAGTCTGGTGATGATGCAGCTTCAAATGCTGGTCAAACAGGCATCGGCATTGTTTTGAGTCCCCGGGCTGAAGCTGCCCTGATCGATTGGATCCCAGTCAACAATCGGATGTGTGCCGTTAGATTAGATGGTTCGTTCCATGCTATGAAGTTGCGCGGGAACAAATGGTGCCAGTTTGCCATTGCGGCCTATGCCCCTACAAACAGTAGCACTGATTCGCTGAAAGATGATTTCTATCAGCAACTTCACGATCTCCTTCGTTACAGAAGAAGCACGATCTAAATGCCCAAGTCGGAAAATTGTCCTCTGATGAGCATCATCTGGGCGGCCAACATGGTGTAGGCTACCGTAATGATAACGGTGAGCGATTGCTACAGTTGTGTGAAGATGCTCGCCTCTTTTGCGAGCACAAACTTTCGGCCCAGCACTCGCAGAAGCGTGACTTGACGCCCACCAGCAGCGGGCCAACCATGAACGCAAATCGATCATAACGCAATCAGTTACCGCTGGAGAGGCTGTGTCCAAAACTGTCGCTCGATTTGGAGCACATACACGGACTCTCACCACAAACTTGTTTTGCGCCGACCTCCGGGTGCGTTTCGGTGGACGTACGCAACGTCGATGTGAACAAATTGATACCAGCCAGCCGGCGAAGCCAAGTGTTCTGAATGTGTATCAAAGTGCGCTGACATCCGGGCTGAGTAAGCGCCCACTGAACACCACCGAAGATCACTGGTCGCATATTCGTCAAACGTTACTATCAGCAGACATGTCAAAAGGAGGCGAATCAAATTGCCAAACCGGACATTCGGTCTCTACACAGTCTCCGGAACTTATGGATGCTCGCCGACGTATTCCGGCTGGAAGCGAATACAATGAGGCTTGCAAAAATCTCAGGGCAAAACTGCGTGCTAACCTGAAGAAAGACCGCGAAGCCTGGTGGTCTAATCCTGCCTTGGAGATGGAAATAGCCGCTACCGTTGGTAATCATCGTAAGTTATTCCGTCTGATACGGGAAACAGGCAGCAGGAGACCTGGTGTTAGCGAGACCATACGTGACGGGAGTGGGCAGCCGATCCACAGTCTGTCAAGACGCTTGAAGTGTTGGACCGAACAGTTTGCAAGCCAAACTGAGTTATCGCTTTCTTTTTCGGGCATTGACCGCCCTTCTCTCTGGGTCGTCTCCTTGGATCCGCCCACACGCGCAGAACTCGAAGGTGAGATCAGGCTGTTGAAATTGCACAAGGCCGCAGGGGCAGATAGAAACCCCCAGCCCTCCTCAAATTCGGGGGACCTGCTCTAGTAGATCATTTACACGAGTTGCTAGTGAACGTTTGGGAGCTGGAG